GGCTGTAGCTGCACTGGCACCATTGTTTTTTTATTTTTTTTTTCTAATTCGTGTTTAATGTCTAAAAATATTTTTTGTAATGCACAAACCCAACCAAGCAGAAACTGAAAACAAAAAGTAAATTTCAATATAGTGTAATATAGTAATATATATATAGTAGCTTTAAATTACCATTACTTTTTTTCACAGTAATTCCATCAAATAAAGTGTCATTCTTTTGTTTTTGTGTACATACAAATTGAGTAAAATAAACTTGTATCTTAAGGCAAACCTTTCTTTGGTTGTTTTATTATAAATGAATTGTTTTGCAGGTAAGATTGTGTCACTGTGGGATAAACGTCACACATTAAACTTTTATACAATGTAGCATCACTTGAAAATGCTAATCTAAACGAGTATAAACCAGAGGAGATGTTTAAAATGAGTAGGAGAAGGCTTTTACTAATTCACATCTTCTCCCTTTCAGCCCTTAGATTAYGAGGGTAAGAGAGCCTACACATTGAAAGTGGAAGCAACCAACATTCGCCCTGAGCCCGGCCTCAACCCACCCTTCAAGGATACGGCCACTGTGAAGATAGCGGTGGAAGACTCAGACGAGCCTCCTGTTTTCACCAGACCTGTGTACTTACTGGAAGTAAATGAGAACGCCCCCATCAACACGGTCATAGGAACGGTCACYGCCAGGGACCCAGACTCCTCGGGGAGCCTTGTCAGGTGAGGTGTAGGCAACAGTGAGCTACTGACAGAGCTTTTAGCCTTTACGAYGCCACCATTTGCTACTGACTCGCCAGAGGAAGATGGCAAAAGTCACCAAATAAAGGTCTTTAATTTAACTTTAAGGAAAATTGGAGAGAAGTCTTACCAGGCTATAATGACTTGTTTTAATAAAAGGGTTGACACTGAGGCATGCAATTAAATTCCTTCATGTCCCTGACCTTTGAAAAATGTGGAAGTGTCTTGGGCTGCCAGGAAGAAACCAAATGATTGCTCTTATTTCTACAGGTGAACAAAATAAAAGTGGAAGATGAGTTGAAGAAAACAAACCTTTCTTCCTTTTTTTTTTCTTTGTAAATCTATCCCTGCTGTAGTATAATATAGTCTCCTCATGTGTGACTTATTCTTGAAAATACCACAAGGGCACCTTGAGGATAGGTTATACAGGCAATTTCTCTCCCTCCACTTTGGCATTTCATTAATTCTCCAGTGACTTGCTGACCGCATTCCCGGGACAACACTCAACAGGTTGTGTGTAATTGCCTGGCGAGCAGAGAGCAGGCTGGCTTTCAGCGATTGGTTGATGCTATAGAGCAGGACTAGTTCATTCTACTTTTACTTTTTTTTTCTTTTTGCATTTCTGGCAGCATTCTCATGTGTAGTGATGAGATTGCCAGGAGTAGGAATTCAGCCCCGAGGTTCCAGGATGCATCTATTCTCATGTGTAATAACATCTTTTGCCTTTTTGTCCTTATTTCATTTCTTAGCGCTCTTATGTTTGTTGATGCAAGTTTGTGTTTTACGGATGCATTTGAAGGAGACTGAGGGACAAAATGAGCCCTAAAAAGAGCATTCTTTTATTGTGAGTTATACTGTAGCATGTGTGCCAAGACACTTTACGATGAAATTCACTCATCTCATTATCTTCTGAATTGAAAGCCACAGTAATGGTTAGTTCTGCAAACGTAATCTTTTGTCCTTTTGACTTCTATAGAAAGGAAAAAGGGACTAAATAAAAAAATGAGTGTGACTGCACATGGCATCGTCCTGGTGTCATAATCTCTTTGCACATTTGCTGTTATGAATCAGTCCAGATATCAACATCCTGGCTTGGCACCTATTAGATGTGAATAATCTTTATGCACAAAGTTATTATTTCTGGTGTTTCATTTTTTTTTCTTTATCTTTTGTCTTCAAACTTTTTCCACACTTGTTTTCAGGTTTGATTTTATYATTATTTTTTTAATTATCAGTTGCATAGTTAAAAAAAACTGTACTGTTCATGAAAAATAAGTTCTTGATAAGTTTTATTTAATTGTCAAGCCAGATAAAAGACCACAAAAAACAAAAAAATCTGATTGCAGATCTTCTTCAGAATGTTGCTGAAATCCTTTTTTTTTTTTTTTTGTAAAAGCTCATCCCCTTTTTGCTTTTTCAATTAAAACACAACAGCAAACAACACAAAAAATGCAGCATTCAACTTTCACTCATGCAAGACCACTGATTATCTGAGGTGAAAGAAAGTAATCATCTGCATTTAAACATACTATTTAGACAGTGTATACTACAATTAAAGGCCATGCATTCCTTGAATGCATATCACCTGCTGCTTTTTATCCCAGAGGTTTTAAATGAGATTATTCTATGATGAGAAGGGATGAAGTGATAGCTGTTTTGGTCAAAGCAGAAGCTAAAGTCATGTACAATCACGTGCAATATTGTGAGAGCTCAAACAAGATGTTTTCGAGTATGTRTTGGGTAAAACTGTCAGCTACTAACATATCCAACAACAGCACACACACAGACATAGACAAACACATTATAGCTTCTTTGTCTTTGGCACGGGACAATCCAAATTGTGTACCTTATTGTTATAAATCATATTGTATTGTACTGCATTGTGTCATAATATCCATTCACTTTTGAGTGCATAATTTTATCATAACAAACAGATGCATGTGAGCACAGCTCTAGTCAAAGTACAAATATACATTTTTATCTTTTTACTTCCACCTGCCTTGCAAAACTTCAAGAGCTGCTGAGTGCTTTTAGTGCTGTGGGGAGATTGTGTGTGTATGTGTGTGTGTGTGTGTGTGTGTGTGATGGGTTGGGTGATGGGGGGGAGGGGGTGAAATAAGTATTGTCATGTGGAGGGCTTAAAATGATGCATGGCCCTAACTCTCAAAGACAGTTTGATTGTACTTCCAGTCACGGTTTGTATTAGCCTGTAACTCTGAGCTCTGCGCTGATAAAATGATTACAGGCTGGGAGATTTTAATCCCACAAAATATACTGGCTAAAAGGAAGCTATACCCTCATAGAAGCTTTTGAACAAATCTCTATTGTTTCTAAATAATGAACATCTTGGTGGGGGGGGAATGCCTCACAAAATAGCAATTCAAATTTTACGCTTTGTTTATTTTATTTTTTGGGGGTGGGGGGTCTGAAACATCAGTCAAACGTGTTGTATTCATGTCCAATAAATATACTAAATTCCATTCATAAAACATTAACAGTCCAAGAGCCAGACTTATTACTGACCATCTCATCATTATTAATGACCATCTCATCATATGAGTCAAATACAATAAGCCAGTAATTATCTCCTCTAGTTAATTGTTTACCTCTGTCTCTAAGACTTTATGTGTGTGTTAAATTGAGAATCGAACAGGTTTCCCAAATTAAAGCTCCAGCAGATGGATCTGTTGCTGCAGACTAGCAGCAGCAATTGCAGCAGAAATGTGGGCGTTCTCCAGCCACCATTTACACAAGCTTTCGAGCTGAACCTTCTTATTAGAATCTCTCAATGTCTTAATCCACCCCTCCTCCCATTCTGTCATCTTTTACTGGACCAGACCAAGTCAGTCTGGGTCTAAACCACTTGGGGCAAGTGCTCTGGTGGGCTGCCATGTCCCTGTTGCTCTCAGGAGACAAACAACCTTGTTTTACTTAATGCATCCAACCAATAACCTTTAAGGTGCTCTCGTGAAATGGTCCCTCAGTGCTGCTTCTCTCTGTGCGCTTTCCTTTTTCTACCTGACTGATAACAGATAAAAAGCAATGTGACATCGGGCACTCAGGCTGTTTAGATGACCAAGAGGGTTTTGTAAAATTACTCTGAGTGTGTGTTTTATTTCAAAAATAAATACTTTGATCAGAAGAACTAAAATCTCTTTTAAAAAGTGTACAAGATTTGTTTCTATCTTTATGTTTATTTTATTTTTCTTCCATTTTTTTTGTGGGAAGTTCCAGGGACACAGTTGGTAACATGTTTCTTTCAGCAAGCTTTGGCATGTTGTAAGGCAGTGGCAAATCTGACAGCTGACATATGGTAATACAAGCAGTCAAGTACATGAGTTGCTTTTAAAACAAATGGAAATTTGGAGGCAGTTACACCAAGGCCATTTGCCCCCATTTGGATTTTTTTTTTGTGTGCCATTTTCTTTTGTTTTTTGATGTTTGATTATTTATAGTATAGATTGGCTGAGACCTTCCCGCTGGCTTTGGGAGCCAGCCTGAATAAAAAAGAGGTGTACAAACACAAATGGTCAGCATTCAGGATACTGCTAAATTAGTCCTACATGTGATTCTCCCGGAGGAATTACTGGCCTAATAACAAGCTGAAATGTCAGAAGCATTTTGTTCTCTGAGGAAAAAAATAAAAAATAAATAAAAAAAATAAATGTTCTCGATCCCCCCCCCACCATTTCCTCCAATTCATGGGGGCACTCGAAGTCACACATTCACACATGTTATACAGTAGGTGCTTCAACTTGGCTTTTCACAGTACTGAGGGACAAAAATATAACTGATAAGTATCTCTGAGGTATGTTAAATTATAACTAAGACTTTACAGATTGTCAGTGGACAGCTCATGCAAATCAACTCCTTCAGACCTTTACCTGAATCTTGACCATCAAAAATTTGTTCTTTTCACAAAAAAAAATCTGTTTTTAGGCACATGTGAGCCAAAGGGGGGTGGGGGTGCGGAGAGGCAAGAAGTCTCTTTGCCACAGAGAGGTGGGGAATCTCTTTCTTGCAATAGAGCGGGTTGTGAGATGGTTAGTTAATTGTATCTGGTTTACATCCTACTGGCTCTGAGACATACAGTATAATAAATTGGAAGCTGAGTTTTTGAAAAAAAAAGTCTGTGTGATTTGAAAAAAAAAAATCTGAGATTTCTCTATACATCTGTGTACCTGCAAAATGGGGTGAAATCTGTGTAATTTACAGACAATTCATATAACTTAACATGTATGATAGCTTGACCACAAAAGAGAACCAATGAGGAAACTTCAACTTTAAATGTCTGTAAAAATTAAATTACGTTATTAAGCCAAAACTTGGATAATTCCACACATTGCCCTATTTAAAGCAAAATGTCATCATGACACAACAGTGAGAAAACCCTACACRTTGTGTAATGAACAAAGTTAAATTACTGCCAAGATGAGAAATTGGGCATTTTTGACTACAAAACAGTGGCACAATAAAGCTGTTGCCTTTCAGTGAGAAAAGTACCAGACTGAATCTGGCCAGGGGCCTTTATGGGTGGAGTTTATATGATTGCTTTGTGAATGCATGGGTTTCTTCTGGTACTTAGGTTTCCAACTACAGACCAAAATCATGGATGTCAGGCTCATTGGTAACTCTGTAGTGTTTCTTAGTGTGAACAAGTGTGATGTTGTTTGTCTCTGTGTCTCTGTGATGGAGGGACAACCTGTCCAGGGTGTACCCTGTCCCCCCGCACAGCAACTGCTGGACATAAGTACCAGTG